GTCAATAATTGTCTGTAATTAATTATTCCAAAAAAAACATAAGCTTATTGAGTACCCACCATATTTATTATTTTATATTTTAATAACAATAATCCAAAATTTCTACTTAAAAAATGTAAAACGGCTACTTAGAAGTACCAAGAGTAGACCACTATTTCAAATGGTAACAAAAAATCACTTCCAACAAATCTGATGATGACCAAAATAAAAATCAGAATTACTTACCATAATATCTAATTACCTTAAACAGTTTTCCAATATTTGCTAGCTTTCTATGGCCACTGAACCTAATCTTCAGCTTGTGCTGAGAAGTACGTACGTCCGTCACTACGTTCCTGCATATGATAATTGGAATTATCTAACAATAACTATATTCAATCTAGGGTTCCAATAGAAACTCCACCAAGTACTTTCTGGTACTCTTCTTTGCTCTTGCCGTCCTTATCTCTGGAACTCAAAGGAAGCATAAAAAATGCTGCTGATCCAGCAGACCGATGAGGCAAGTCTGCAACAGAAGACAAGTTAGTTACCATGTACATATAGTTTAACATTATGAAAACTTACAGAGAGCACCGCCACTTAATATACAGACTGAAAAATCAATTGAGAATGAAAGTCAAAGAAGAGTTAATAATAAGATCAGTTGAAGTCTATAAACTGCAAAATGTGGAGGCACTGCAGAAGGTTACCTGGCAATTTGTTGTCAATGAAGAACACAACCAAGTTTACAGTATACCTGCATCAGAATGAACACCTCTACGGTCAACTATGAAAGAGTGAAATCAATTTATTTTTGGTTTAAAATTTATTTCTAGAGATTACCATGCAACAACAATGTCTACTGTATAATGTTTTCGCGATGCTACAATCAAGAGGCTCTGACTCACAGCTAGTAGCCACGCAAACTGCTTAATGAACCTGCAAAAATATGCCAAAATAGTGCCTACAAACTTGAATATTTTCTTACATCCATTATAGAGCCATATAGACACCAGATATTGATTTTGGCTTCCTAGTGACAAATTATTAGGACATGTAACAGTGTAATACAAGCTGAGGTAAGTGAGAATTATCGGCACAAATTACCTTCTTGAACCATACTTTTGATATGTTCGTACAAACACCAAGGTAAATATCATATGTGACGAAAAAATCAGATCACCACAGCCATATAGGATCCCTCAAGGAACTGCATTAGTAGCACAAATATTAGTCAATCCCCACAGAGTTGATTCAGGATTGATGGACTGTCATTTGAAAAAGAAGATGTAAGTTTAGACATACGATTAATTAAGAGAACGTCGATTGCATTTTCTGGATAGGGAAGCCGGGAAAGTTTTGAGCCCTGAAAGGAAAACTTTAGTATTCCTTCAATCTGATCAGCAGATAACAAGAGGAAAATTTAGATAACTAAACATGTAAATATCTAGAATCTGAGATTACATCAACTGACAAGTTCCCTATAAACCTTACCTCACGGCAATGATAATTTGGACCAGGTAACACGGTTGAATAAAATGTGATGATGCGCAGACTTTGAGAAGCCTAAAGAGCACAAGAAAATACCTAAAGAAATAGTCAGTATAAACAAAAAGCACCATAAGTAATACTCGAATTGCTCTGATTTTTTTTTTTTATAAATACGACGCCTCAACGTGTTAATATATAGTGCATAAATAGTAAATAACTTAAGACTATTTTATCGTGATATAGTGCCATATGTTCACTCCACATGGGCTTGGAAGAAAAAACTGAATTTTTGGATAAACTTTTGACCTAAAAGTAAAATGACAATTTCTGAGAAACATGAACATTTAATAAAACTGATGAAAAGGTTGAAATAGATGCCTCTTTTTGTTCTTTTTTTTTTTTAAAGAAAAAGCTTCTATAGATTTCTTCTCAACTAGAAAAGGGGGCTCGGGAACAGCATGAGTATATCTTCTCAACTAAAGAAGCAAAGGGAGACGAAATTCTATGTCAAGGCGAACAAAAAAAAAAAAAAAAAGAGAAAAACCCAGAAGAACGCACATAATCAGATCAAGTAATAATAATACAACCAGATAGGCAGGAACCTCCAGACATTTAAAAATGAATTTGTTATTTTCCTCTTGAAAAGATGCGGTAAAAGGTAATTCAGGTATTGTAATCGGTACTTACAACTAGATACACAAAAACCCTACACCATATCAGAACTGTGTAGATTCTTTTGCTCTGTAAAACAAAAGGGTAAAAGGTCCACTGCAACAGAACTAAAATCGCATCAGACCATCAATAACTAAGCATTTGCATCTGCACAAATCGTAGACTAACTGAATTTCATTACATTTTAAAATAATAAAGATATAAACAAGAAGCCACCTACAGCAAATTCAATGTAATTTAGTCAAATCTTACATACAACTAACAATTGATAACATTCTAGTCTCAACGAAAATGTTAATGGAAAAAACATCTACATACAATCCAGTCATGGATTAATGTACAACATACTGGATGGACAATGTATGTAGAACAGAATTTATGTAGAAGACAATTATTGGAGTACAACGTAACAAATCTAATCATATCAACAAAGGTGATGAATGAAAAAAACTACACAATATGGCATATAAAACAGAACTAATGTGAAAAATCTATGAACGAACAATTAAGAGATAAAAGATTCTCTGTTCCTACAAGTTTCTCATAACATTCCTTTTTTTGGCTATTTTGAGGGCATAAATGATTTAGAAATATTATCGTTTTCAACTTCACATCTGTAATGGCATGACTCTTATACTCTACTCTATTCCAGAAAATATTTTGAGTACATAAATGCTTCAGAAATATTATCATCTTCAGCTTCACGATCTTTAATAGCATGATCCTTATTACTTGAAGATGCAGAAGTTTCACAAGTATCTCCATCTTGAGTAACTTATCCATTTAATTAGTAGCTACTAAATCCTAGCTGCATTGAGACAGTCAACTAATAGCACAAAAGCACGTGAACATGTGCAGCCATAACATACAGATGCAGATAAGATAATTGAAGCATATGTACCTCCAGAAAGACAAGTGAGAAGCAAAAGAAGCAGCTAAAAGAAATAGCTAAAAATAAACTACAAATGAATATGAAGATTACACACATTATAAAGATTAAAAAGAAGTAAAGAGTGTGAATGACAGAAATGATCAAACATAAAGGCCAAGATAAAATGATTGGTCAACAAGAAGGAAATTTTGAATCTTACCAAGACAAATGAACTAAAAATGATTCCGAATAAAGATTCACTGATATAAGCATTGGCTTGACCAAGTTCCTAAACCAGTACAATAATAATTAGTACATGGCAAACAGTTTATACTAAACTACATAGAAATACAAATGCGGTACGCACTGGTCGAATGAAGAACCCAGCATCCTGAAGTGTTGGTCCTGGACGATGTAAGTAGTGAACTCCATGAGCAGCCAGCCCATGTAGGCACTACATATAAAAAATAAATAAATAAATGAATCAAAAAAGAAACTAAAGTATCCTAAACAGAAAAGTACAATAAAAGAGCAAGGAAAAGAACACAGCACATGCATAGAACTACAGCGGGTAAAAATGTCCTTGATCAATTGAGGAAAGGGCAAAGAAGGATAAAAGAGAAAATTCAACCTACATGTGATCTGCCCTTAACTTCTGAAAGACCATCAAAAAGAATTTCTTGTGTTTCCACAAAGCATTTTAGCCACTATAAAAGGATGGGGAGCTCTACTCATTGTGAATGAGCTAAACTCCTGGTCTATTTCTGTCCATACCAAAAGCACACTGATACACAATGAAAAGGAAAATCCATGTTGGAAGACAAATTTCTTTCCACAAACATTAAACGTCTCAAAACTTTAGATAGACCTCGAAGCAATGAGAAAAACTTCACCATAAAAGCAGAATTCAGATCATAGAGTTTTTATAACTTTATAGTCCTAAAGGATAATCTTGGTATTGTTCAACCCCACGTATACGTTTGTAACTGCCTACATATTGAGAACGCATCACCAATATCTTTAAATAGCTCTCTAAAAAGAAGAACACCTTTCGAAAAGATCGTAGTAAATAATCAGTTTGTCGCTAAAGAGATATCTGCGACAACTCTAACAGAGCAACTGCAGCACAAGGAATTGAGGCAACCCGGATAACTATGGACTTTACGCTTGATTTTCCCACTATCCAAACACACACCTCAACAGAAACTTCGCTTACCAAATGATTAACTAAACAAATTAGCATCGTAAAGAAAATAAAAGGATTTAAATGCTTTGATTATCAAGCTTGATAAAATTTTGTGAAGAAACTTCAACCAGAGAGGGAGAGAACCTGAAACACGATTCCAGCAAAAATAAGCTTCCAATTTTCAACTAGAAGTAGAATTTCTATTGCTGCCTCTGTGTGAATTCTCCTGCATAGCTTCAAATTAATGTAAAACAAATCACTCAATCAATCGATATAACAATTAAAAAGAACCTGCAAAAATGCATTAAAAGAAACGGAGAGAAACAAACCTTGGTGGCCTCGCGATCAAAGTAAACTGTCATTTTTGGAATCCTCCAATGTCAACATTCGACATCAGTCACCAGAAAACCCTAGAATAGCCCGATCATCCACTTATCCAAATATCCAAACAAACCGCTCAAAGACCAAATTTGAAATCGTTTCGTTTCAATAGATACAGAGCTTAATCCACTTTGAAGCGCATAAAAAAGTCAAAAACGAAAGAGATTAAATCAAGTCCCAAGTAGATTAACCAAATGCAAAAACGCGAGAGCCAGAAAAGAAAACCGTGTCTCTGTTTATGTCGGAAGAAGAACCAGTTGGAAGAGTGGGGGTTGTACTTCGAAGTTAAAAGTAAGACGATAACCGTTTAGTACTGATTATTAATTGAATAATTAATTTATTTTTTTTCATATTTTTTATTTTTTAGAAAATCTAATCAGAGAAATAATCACGTGGAGCTCGTCCTCATAGAGAGAATAGTGGATGGGCTTCTTTTGTAGGGCACATGGATTCTGGGCCTGGACTTTTTAAAAACAATTTATATTTTAAAATAACAATAAAACTAAGAAATATATTCAACCACTATAATTAAATTAAGAAATATATTAGAATAAAGACAAATTATTTTGTAAGTTCATATTTTTTGGGAATTTCTATGAATAAGATTAGGATAAAATCTTATGAATTGGGTAAATGAACCTTACTCTATATTCATTACCATGTTTGTAGAATGTGCAGAGTTTTAAGTACATAAATTCGAAAGACTGGATCCTTCCATAATAATTTTTGATGTCGTCTAATCATTTAGTAATACAGAATATTTTTAAAGTGCTGACAGAAAAGTATAATTTGTATAAATCTTTTCATTTTACAATTTGATCGGGGATAAATCTAAGGCGTGCGCCATGGCAGCGCAGGTTGACCTCACTTGATCAAAGTTCAAACATGAATGGAAAAGCAAGTACCATTAATCCACATAATCATAATAACAATGACGATAATAATAATAATAATATGCACAATTAACATTGATGATGAGACTGGATTACAACTGAAATTGCTTCCGCTGTCGAAAGCAATCCACCACGAAAGTGACTCAAAAAGCTAACTCCAGTCTCTTTCTCTTCGCTATATTATATATAAAAAGAGTCTTTGCTTATTTTTTAGGGCTGCAGACATAAGTGAAGGCACATGAAATTATTAGATACTCCTCTCAACCATCAACTCCTTCCATATAATCATTCGGGTTTCATACAAGTGAAGAAGCCCACATGTGCATACGTGAAGAAATGACTGAGATATTTCAAAGAGCATTTAATAATCTATCCATCCTATGACTGCTCTTACGCCTGGCGTATCATGCACCATACAACCAACAAACTAGAATTATGTATGCTTGCCCTAGTTTGTAATTTTACAAAATCATTCTCCTTCTTAAGGGGGAACTAGACCCTTCCAACAGGGGATAAGGGTGGATTCGAGATGTATTTTGCTGGGGCATCTCCGTCGACGAGACTGGAATTCCTCTGGACTCGTATGGTCTCCTGCAAAGTTTTGTCTTCAATGGAGTCGCTCAACTCTGAGATTTTGCAGAGCTGCTTACCATCCCAAACTGCTATACAGATTGCAAATGCCTGTAGTAGAGAGAGTGATGAATTGAACTCAACAGAATAGATTCCGTCCTGGAATGGAGCAAAACTGAAGAAAGGCTGATTGTCCAGTAGTCCTCCCTGTAAGTTGTTAAAGGAAAAGATGATCAGCTCTTCTAGTATAAACTAGAAAGTATCGTTGCAGGATGTGTCCTGGCTGAATTTTTAAATAATAACTAAAAAACACAGAAGGTTCATACCAGAAAGAAAAGCTCAAATTGGTCAGTGGCAGAAGATAGTTTTGACAAACTGAAGTTCTTGCTCGGTTGATTCTGATTAGCAAGAATCTTAAGCTTACAACCCATATCCCAACCTCCGCAATCACACACACCACCAGATTTCCAGCGTTGAATCAATGATGAAGGTCCTCCTTTATGTGGTAGACTATGAGTCCCGCTTGGAAGTATGACTGTTGCACTAATGTCTTGCCTATAGACAAGAGAACAATTTGGAATATCTTTCCCAGAAATTGAATTAGGACTCTCTCTGACAAATACTCTTTTAACCCAACCTCTTGCGAATCATTGCTTTTGCCACTCTGAAAGAGATCTCTGGATGAACTTCTGCTAATTCTTTTCGGGATCTTGACGACAATAGCCGCGAGCTCATCCTTTGGATGGAAATCGGATGTTTGCTGATCGGCTTGTCCTAGGTCCACAGCAAAAAGAACAAATTCTCTGATCCTAAATTGATCTATGCAGTTCCTTCCAGTCAAATTAGAAGGTTGAGAACCAGAAACCCTCAACTGGGCAACAACATTAGGAATGTAATCATGACCTTGCCCTTTGTCTCCTTGTTTTATCCACCTTCCTTTCCTTTTTTGTCACCTCTTGAATGGTGAAGAATGTATAAATGTAGCTGTAGTCATCCTTCCCTGAGGAATTCAATTTCTTCATTGTGGCTGCTAGAATGTCAGTCTCATTGTCGACAGCAAATGTAAAAAGAGGCTGACCATTCTTAACTGCAACTCGCAGAAGAGCTTGAACAGTTGATAATCCCCGTCTTTTGCTCTGAGATGGATAATCGGCATTCAGTGCTCTATGATTTGCCATCTCTAGTTTATCTTTTCCTGATTGCCCAGTTGAAGAACATGGTTGCTCATCGGATAATCTACTGGCCCCATCACATGATTTTGGGTCCTTTGACAATGGCCGAGCAAGATTATGACAATTGACTGCCTTTGGCTTGATGAGTGGCTCCAGTAACCTTCTCAAAGGGCTGGACCTTGCTCTGTTTGCAGTGTGAGGTTTATCACACCTTGTAGCATTATGGCAAGATAAAGCTACAATGTTCTCTGAACCAGGCTTAGCAGAAATATTCATTGAGCTCGACTGGGGTAGAGCACTAACATCTTTGGAGCTGGAACTTTTGCTTGTCTTCCCCATACTGAAGCTAAGTCTGCGGAAAGGTGAAGTGCTTCTTCCTTTTTCAGATGCTACCTTGTTTAATTTCAGATCTGACTTTCTGGAAGGTTCATCTTTTGCATTGAATTTTGTGGGGATCGCTGCTGGTCCTTTGTCTTCTTGATTTCTTATGGATGGACTGATTCCTATTTTTGATGAGCGTGGGACTGAATTAGATCTTTCAGTTAGAAGGTTGTTCATGTCTGCATCAATCAGGCTATTACGTTTGATCCGCATGTGTCTATTTCCCTTAGCTTCATGAGGAGAGGAGCAAGAATCAGGGAGATTCAAATTGCACTCCAGATGGCAGACCACTTTAGATCCTTCCAATAGATTCCCACTAGCGTCCGCTCCTTTTCGACCTAGTATTGCCGCTGAATCTGGAAATTTCACTTCAGAAAGACTTTTTGGGGGACGATCTCTTGGCAAAAGAATAACAACTGTTTTTTCTTTTTTATGAACATCATGTTCATGATAAACTTGATTTTGTTCATTCAATGTTCCTGGTCTCTTGACCAATTCATCACCTTGGGACTCTTGTCTTTCTTTGGCATGGGAAGCAACCTCACAATTTATCCTATTGGGCAAAGTTCCGGTTTCTCGACCAGCCTTCAAGTCCGAATCTTTCCTTTTACATTGGCCCAACTTGATTTCAGCATGGCTTAGGGAAAAAGGCTGACCTGCTCTGATTAAGTTCACCTGATTCTTGAAGGTGTTTTGCTGGGTCCCCTTGAGATCTTGAATTTTTCCAACGCCCTCTCCAAACATTTTGTCAACTTGAGAACGAGCTTCCATGGAAGAAGATGTCAGATGAAATTGCAGTGAAGGATGACGCAACCTTTGATGAGCAGGAGACCAACTTTGACCTCTGCTAGAATATGCAGATGACTCATCTGTTGAGAAAGAAGAGGACGTATTACTACTGGAAACTGAAGGTCTCCTACTCCTATGAGGCAACTGTTTATGAATATACTGCCATTTCTCTAGACGGCCCCAGTCAAGGACCCCAACATTTAAAACTTTCTCCTGGAGATTTTCTCCTCTCTCTAGATAACTTGGTAAATTTGACATGTGCTTGACCAGTTCATCTTCTTTATTCACCTCTCTATCAATCTGTTGCCTCAGGTGACTCTCTAGAGGTTTACTTGAGATATCTTTCACATTTTTTGTGATCTCATGATGCAGATCAGCATACGACAAGTTAGGCTTTTCTCTTCTAAATCTGTCTTGGGGATTTGACCTTGGGATTGCTTGAGGCAATATAGTCTTCTGAGATCTTCCCAAGGACTGTTGGTCCTTCAAACTCTTTCTGAGTTCTAAACGGTATTCCATAGATTTGGTACTTTTGACTACCAAA